TTCGACAACTGAAACATGGAGAAATCGAAAAGTGGAGAAGCCGAAAATTCGAAAATTTGTTAAATCGAAATCGACCAAAATGAAAAAATCGAAAAATTAAAAATTGAAAAATTGAAAATATTTAAATTAAAAAAAAATGCATAAATCGAAAAATTGGAAAATCGAAAAATCGAACAATCAAAAATAGGGACCTCCAAATCTCGATAAATTGAGACAATGAAAAATCTGAAATTTAGAAACTGAGAAATGGAAAAATCGAAACATCAAAAAACCGAGATATCGAGAAATCCAAAACCCAAATTCAAAAAAGTCGACAAATTTAAAAGTCGGGCAATGGAGGAATCAAAACCTGAAAAATCGAAAGAGCGGAAAATCACAAAACTGAAAATTGGAAAATTGGAAAAACGAAACCCTCCAAAATTCGAAAACTGAATCATGGAGAAATCGAAAATGGGGAAGCCGAAAATTCGAAAAATTGCGAAATCGAAATCGCCAAAACCGAAAAATCCAAAAATTGAAAATTGAAAAATTAAAAAACTTATAAAAAAAATGGTGAAATTGAAAAAATGAACATGTAAATCTCGATAACTCGTGAAACTGGAAAATTAAAAAATCGAAGAATCTAAAACCGAGAAGTTAAGAAGTCGAAAGATCGAGAAGTCGAAACATCAAAAATTTGAAATGTTCAAAAATCTAAAATTTAAAAACTGAACAATCGAAAAGAAATCGTGAAATTGAAGATGTAAAATTTACAAAAACGAAAAATTGAAAAATCGAGACATCGAAAACTTGAACAATTGAAAAGCCGAAAAATCGAAATATCGAAACGTCAAAAAATGAAAATTGAAAAATTGAAAAATCAAAAATTTAAAAATCGAAAAATTGAAAAATCATAAAAGCAAAATCCCCAGAAATCTAAAAGTCCAAAAATTGAAAAACTGAAGAATCGAAATATCGAGCAATTTCAAAACTGTAATATAGAAAAATTGAAAAATGGAAGAAAAATTGACAATTGAAAAATTGGCCCCAAAATTGAAACATCGAAAACATGAAAAATCGGGAAATTGAAAAGTCGAAAATCGAAAAAACGAAGAAATGAAAAACTGAAAAATAGAAACATTGAAAGTGAAGAAATTTAGAAATCGAGAAATTAAAAATTTTGAAACGTCAAAAATTGAAAAATTGTATACTTGTGGAAAAATTTAAAAATCGAAAATTTTGAAAAATCCAAATATCAGAAAATCGTGAGATAGAAAAATCGGAAAATTGACGATTTGAAAAATGGAAAAATCGAAACATTGAAAACTAGGAAAATTGAAAACCCGAAAAATCGAAAAACCGAGAAATCGAAATACCGAAATATCAAAAAATTGGAAAATCGAAAAAGTAAAATATCCAGAAATCTAAAAGTCGAAAAATTGAAAAGCTGAAGAATTGAAATATCAAAAAACTGAAAAATGGAAGAAAAATTGACAATGGAAAAATTGAGAAATCGAAATTTTGAAAAATCGGAAAATCGAAAATTCGATAAACGAAAGTGAAAAATCGGAAAATTGAAGCATTGAAAAAAAATAGGAACATTGAAAGTCGAGAAATCGAGAAATGGAAAACTCTGGAAATATGTTAATCGAGAAATTTAGAAATCGAAAAATTAAAAATTTAGAAAGGTCAGGAACTGAAAAATTGAATATAGAAAAATTTAAAAATCGAAAATTTTGAAAAATCGAAATATCAATAAATAAAAAAATTGAAAATTTGAAAAATATAGAACTTAGAAATCGAAAAATTGGAAAATCGAAAAGTAAACTATCGAAAAATGGAAAAACCGAAAAATTGAAGAATTGAAAAATCGAAACGTTGGAAAGTCGAGAAATGGAGAAATGGAAAAATTGTTTAATCAAAAAACTGAAAAACCGTAATATCGAAAAATTGAATGCCAAAAAAATTTAAAATTGAAAATTTTGAATATCGAAAGGTCAGAAATTGAAAAATTGAATATAGAAAAATTTAAAAATCGAAAATTTTGAAAAATTGAAATATCAATAAATAAAAAAATTGAAAATTTGAAAAATATAGAACTTAGAGATCGAAAAATTGGAAAATCGAGAAAGTAAACTATCGAAAAATGGAAAAACCGAAAAATTGAAGAATTGAAAAATCGAAACATTGGAAAGTCGAGAAATGGAGAAATGAAAAATTGTTTAATCGAAAAACTGAAAAACCGAAATATCGAAAAATTGAATGACAAAAAAATTTAAAATTCAAAATTTTGAATATCGAAAGGTCATAAATTGAAAAATTGAATATAGAAAAATTTAAAAATCGAAAATTTTGAAAAATTGAAATATCAATAAATAAAAAAATTGAAAATTTGAAAAATATAGAACTTAGAGATCGAAAAATTGGAAAATCGAGAAAGTAAACTATCGAAAAATGGAAAAACCGAAAAATTGAAGAATTGAAAAATCGAAACATTGGAAAGTCGAGAAATGGAGAAATGAAAAATTGTTTAATCGAAAAACTGAAAAACCGAAATATCGAAAAATTGAATGACAAAAAAATTTAAAATTCAAAATTTTGAATATCGAAAGGTCATAAATTGAAAAATTGAATATAGAAAAATTTAAAAATCGAAAATTTTGAAAAATCGATATAATCAATAAATCGAAAAATTGAAAATTTGAAAAATATAGAATTTAGAAATCGAAAAATTGGAAAATCGAAAAAGTAAACTATCGAAAAATGGAAAAACCGAAAAATTGAAGAATTGAAAAATCGAAACGTTGGAAAGTCGAGAAATGGAGAAATGGAAAAATTGTTTAATCGAAAAACTGAAAAACCGAAATATCGAAAAATTGAATGACATAAAAATTTAAAATTCAAAATTTTGAATATCGAATGTTTTGAAAATCGAGAAATCAAAACATTGAAAAGTGGAGAAGTGGAGAAATGGAAAAATCCAAAAATTGATTCATCGAGAAATTGAAAAATCGAAAAATTACAAATTTAGTAACGTCAAAATTTGAAAAATTGAAAATCGAAGGATTTAAAAATCAAAAAATTGAAAAATCGTAAAACTAAAGCATCGGAAAATTGAAAAATCGAAACATGAAAAAATTAAAAAATTCCAATACTGAATTATGGAAAAATTGAGTAATCAAAAAGGTGAAGAATAAAAAAACTGAAAAGTCCCAAAAGTCTCAAATTGGAAATTGTAAAATCGGAAAACTGGAAAATCGAAACATTGAAAAATCAAGGAATGAAGAAAGAAAAAAATTGAAAAACTGAAAAATCGAGAAGTTGAAACGAAGTATTGAGAAATGGGAACAGCAAAAACCTTAATAATCTAAAACTAAAAAATTTCATGAATTGAAAAATAGAAACATCCAAAAATCTAAAGTTTTAAAAATTGCAAAATTTAAGCATCGAAAATTTTGAGAAATCCAAAAATCGAAACAACAAAAATTCGAAAGATTGAAAAATTGAAAAATGTAAAATTAAAAAATCAAAAATTTAAAAATCGAAAAAGTAAAATACCGAGAAATCAAAAATTGAAAAGTCGAAAAATCAAAAAATTGGAGAATCAAAATGTGATAAATTGAAAGATAGAAAAACCATAAAATCGAGAAATGGCAAAACCTCAAAAATTGAAAAATTGAAAATAGAAAAATTTAAAAACCGAAAAACATGGGAAAATTAATAAATCGAAAATAAAATTCAACACGGATTCATAAACCACAAGTTAATGACTGTTTTTAACATTCAAATAACATTTATTGATCAAAATTTTAAGATAACATCATCAATTCCTGAGGAGAATCATGAACGCATAAATTTTGATTAACGATCTACCAAATTTTCGATAACCTTAAAACATTCGCAAGATTTCAAAGCAGTCGATTTTGCAGTTTTAAGCTTAAATTGTAAAATGTTGCAATACAATTTCAATTTTTTTGTTTCTAAAAATCTGATTGCCTGAGGTAAAAATTCAACACGGCTTCATAAACTACAAATGGAGGAGTATGTTATTTTATAAAAATCCATTGTTGGTGGTGATGAGCAGAAAAATTTTGGCTAGCGTTTTACCATCTACATGATATTCTTAACATACATAGAAAATTTGACAACAATCGGTCCAGTAGTTTCGAGGATTATGTATGTAATAAAATTTTTTCGTGCGCGTTGGAGAAAACATGAAAATAACAAACGTGTGACCGCTTTTCCCCGATTTCCCCTATTCTGCCGACGAAATCAGACAATCGATAGAAAATTGCACAATGTGATTGGTCGAACATTAATTTCCAGCTTTGCGGAAAATTAACAGTAAAACGTTATTAATTTGTTAATATGTTGCATATTATTTGGAAATTTATTTGTACGTTAAAAGTAAAATTGACACGATCAAAGCAGACAATAGCGAAAAATTACAAATAAATAAACAATATAGAAGAACATAAAAAAACACTCTCTTTTAATAAAGTGTGTGTTGGATTAGTGAAAAACAACCCCAATATTGTGTTGTTTTATTGTGTTAGCAGAAATATTTAATTAATTTACTGTTTGGTTCATTAGGGTATGTAAACCACATAATTGGCAAATGGAATTTATTTAATATAATTGTTGTTTGTTCTTGTTATATTTATTGTGTCTATTTAAAACACGCGTTGATTAAAATTGATTGTGAAGTATCGCCCGAAACCCCTGCTACTAAAAGTCGGTATCGCACTTCGATATTATTGTATAAAATTAAGTTGCATTACTCCCGCGAATAATATTTTCAACTCAGTAGTTATTAGGGAATATCTGCTTTATCAGCGTGCTAAAATTTACTCAACACTACCCATTTCAAGCCAAAGGGTTTCAAAAGCAAGCTTGAAAGCTTAATAAGCTTCTCCGTTTTTGCCTCGTGCCCGTTTTAAAACGCGAGCTCGAATTAGAGCGCAAATGGTTTACGTCTAGCTCTCGAAAAATGAAAATGAAAATCCTCGTTTTCCTTCCAGGTATAGAAACAAAGTTCGCCGGTTCCAGCTGCAACGACCTCGCCATCGTGGACAGCTCCGGCTCCACGATAATCAGCGGCCATTTCGACAAGAGCATACGCTTCTGGGACACCCGTTCGGAATCCAGTGCCAACAACATCCTCTTCAACGGCAAAGTGACGTCCCTGGATCTAACCCGAGGTGCGTTCCCCAAAATCGGGCAGGTGAGCCGATCCGGTGAGGAGCTCGTAATTGTAATTGTAAATTCCGGCTAATGCCGGAAAAGTCAAGCGTTGAGGCGCGTTCATTGTGCGCCAAGAAAACTCACTAATGTAAACTAATTATGCAAATTTCGTCACCTGATTAAATAAATCTAACTTCCTCACGAACGGCCGCCACGCCCAAAACGGAAATAAAAACAGAGGAGTTAACACGAGCACTGCATAAATTTTCATCCGGGAGTTCATTAAAGGCGAAGCTCGAAAAAAGATTCTGAGGAAAGCGCTGTTTCAGACGGGAAATACCTGATATGCTGCGTGAGGGACGACACGCTGAAGTTGCTGGACCTGAGGATGAACCACGTTGTCAACTCTTTCAGGTGAGTGCATTATAAGAGAACAAACGAAAAAGTATAGTGGAGAGTTATACACAGGCCACTGCTGCCGGTCGTTGACAAACTAAAAAACCTCAACACAATTTTGGCCCGTGATTTTCGTGAAATCTTTCGAGACCGACTTCATAAATCCTCCGTGGATATCTGATAGTCATTAAAATCCCCTCAGCATTGAAGTGATTTATGTTACAATGTAATTAATGCCCATTAATGCCTCCGCAATACTTGCTTTTAGTGTGAGTAGCGCTATGAAAATTTTCTCGTGGTCATTATGGATTGGAAATTGGAGGTATGTGCTACGTGTTGGACCATAATTATTGGGCATCGAACAGGCATAATGTGGTTATCAGGAGTGGTCTATGGTGTTATTTAGATTTTGTAATGTTTGATTGACGAGCAAACATGAGGAAATATCGGTGGAAGCTCATCTATTTGTTGCTGGAATTTCATGAGCATACCAATCGGGACTGCGCTCGGAGAATTGAATGCTGACGGTGATAAGTAATTTATTTCGAGTGGGTGGTTACGTAAAGCCTAAAAAATCAGAGTGTGCTAAATAATTTTTTGTAGCAATTACTCTGCGAATTCGCGACGTACGAAACCGTTCAAAATCGAAGCGAAAAATTTACACGATGTCTAAAATATATTAATGCAAAGAGCGCGAGAGTACGGCAAAGTGGAGGTAAATAAATGCAATAAGCGCTCAAATAAGCTGCTCACACGATATTTCCAAACGTTAAAAAGATTTATTCGTGGAAATCACAGCAGTTTGTCATCTTTAAACCTCTATTACTGGTTGCTTGCCAAATAAATACCGTGCATTTAATCTAAAAGCTAATTTCATCTATAAAATACATACAGGTGTTGGTTATCTCGTACTATGCGAACTACGGTTTATTTACGTTAATCTGTAATACAATGCGAGCACAGCGAGCACGTTTAGGTGCTATTCAAGACGACTTTTCGATATTCCCGTGAAGGTAAATTATTATGACAAGTTTTATTGATATTTAAAAATTATACATCTGGAATATTAATGCGCATACACTCATTAGAATACGACCTAAACGTGCTTGCTGCGCTCGCATTTTGTGCATGTGTATTTTTTGAATGAATTCAGATTCAGGGACAAGTCTAAAGAAACATTCATTACTTCAATGCAAAGTTGTCATAAGCATTTTAAATTTTTGATCAAAATGTATTTGCTCATACCCCCTAAAAAAATTGATGACGTCACCTCAAAATTTTCTGTCCTTGTTCAAAATGACTCAAAAAAATTAATCAGTCACTTTATTTTATTGAATAAGTCAAGAATTGTAAAATTGAATACTTTGAAATCTTGCAAACGTTTTAAAGCTATTGTAAGCATTGTAAATTGTTAATCAAAATATATCTGTTTATTCCCCCCCAAAAAATTGATGACGTCATCTCAAAATCTTGCCGACTAAATTCTACCCAAAATGTGCATAATATGATGAGTTTTTACTTGTGATTTATCGTTGCATTCATATTTTTTAGATTTGCTTAAACAGGTGGCTCAAAAAAACTAATTAATGACTCAATTTATTTTATTAATTAAATCAGGGACGGCTCACTCCATTTTCCCAGAAAATTTTGGGAATACAATACTGTTATTTGTCAATTACCATTTTAAACTAAATAAAATAAGTCAGTGAAACGGAGAAAGGTGGTAGGCGGGGCCAAATTTAGCTTTTTCTAGTTTTATGAGCAAGTTTTATCCCCGCCCACCCACCCTTTTTTTTCTTAATTATGTGTAATATTAAACGGGTTATTTGACATTTAACACAGAAGCGGAGTCAAAAATTGGAAAAAAGTCTTGGCTAAAACAAGACGACATTAAGGAAATGACAGTGAAAATTTAAGAGATTTAAGTTTGCAGACAACAATATTTTTGCAATTAAGATATCCCTTACGAATTAAATAAATCAGAAAGTATCCTAAAAATAATTTAAACTCATTTTTAATAAGAAAAACAGTGAATCAGTGCTCGTAAATTCAAGCATTTCTCATGACAGATGAACGTGATTTTTCGCCAACATTGACAACTGAACAGTTTAAACTGAGGTGATTTTTTGCAGTTCATACCTTCTATGTATAAGCAATAAAATCCAAATAAAAAATGAAGATTATAAATAATTTTTGGAATATTTAATGGCAAAGTGTGACCTGAAGACATAGATTTGAAACATGAGAAAACGGCAAATGAAAAATTGATCGACTATATCTTGGATAAATTAAAAAAATTCAAGTTTAAAATTCAATTAACTAATTATGATTTTCTCTTCTTAATATACATAGTACTCTTCACAACAAAAGACTGAAAACATGTTTAAAATGGTAAATTTTATCTCCCACAGTTTTCAGTTTCTTGTCACGAATAGAAAACTACGTTCATACAAGAAAAAAGAAGGCAAAATATAAACCCCACCCACCCACCCTCATTTCAATTGTGATGAATTTTCTTATTCGTCGTGAGTCGAGAGGCGGAGCTTAATTGCAAAATGCTTATTTCTCTACCATGTAAAACATGTTTTTAAGTAGGATGTTGTTGAAAGAAAAATATATATGTTAACAAAAACAAAAATAAAAAATGAGCCCCACCCACCCGCCCCAATCTCAGTTGTGACGCATTATTCATTGGTTGCCCGACCAAGAGGCAGTTAGTAGCTAAATTTATCCAGATTTTAATTAAAAAAATATATATTAAATTTAATTTAGCGCCAAATTTTGAGCTGAAGCTATTTAGATTTAAAACGGACTATGACATGCGAAAGCGACAAAAAATTGATAAACTATATTTTGTTCTAGTTTTAACTTAAATTGCCTAAATTATGTGTAATATTAGACGGATTATTTGACATTTAACACAGAAGCGGAGTCAAAAATTGGAAAAAAGTCTTGGCTAAAGCAAGACGACATTAAGGAAATGACAGTGAAAATTTAAGAGCTTTAAGTTTGCAGACAATAATATTTTTGGAATTAAGATATTCCCTACGAATTAAATAAATCAGAAAAGTAGCCTAAAAATAATTTAAACTTATTTTTAATAATAAAAACAATGAATCAGTGCTCGTAAATTCAAGCATTTCTCATGACAGATGAACGTGATTTTTCGCCAACATTGACAACTGAACAGTTTAAACTGAGGTGATTTTTTGCAGTTCATACCTTCTATGTATAAACAATAAAATCCAAATAAAAAATGAAGATTATAAATAATTTTTGGAATATTTAATGGCAAAGTGTGACCTGAAGACATAGATTTGAAACATGAGAAAACGGCAAATGAAAAATTGATCGACTATATCTTGGATAAATTAAAAAAATTCAAGTTTAAAATTCAATTAACTAATTATGATTTTCTCTTCTTAATATACATAGTACTCTTCACAACAAAAGACTGAAAACATGTTTAAAATGGTAAATTTTATCTCCCACAGTTTTCAGTTTCTTGTCACGAATAGATAACTACGTTCATACAAGAAAAAAGAAGGCAAAATATAAACCCCACCCACCCACCCTCATTTCAATTGTGATGAATTTTCTTATTCGTCGTGAGTCGAGAGGCGGAGCTTAATTGCAAAATGCTTATTTCTCTACCATGTAAAACATGTTTTTAAGTAGGATGTTGTTGAAAGAAAAATATATATGTTAACAAAAACAAAAATAAAAAATGAGCCCCACCCACCCGCCCCAATCTCAGTTGTGACGCATTATTCATTGGTTGCCCGACCAAGAGGCAGTTAGTAGCTAAATTTATCCAGATTTTAATTAAAAAAAAATATATTAAATTTAATTTAGCGCCAAATTTTGAGCTGAAGCTATTTAGATTTAAAACGGACTATGACATGCGAAAGCGACAAAAAATTGATAAACTATATTTTGTTCTAGTTTTAACTTAAATTGCCTAAATTATGTGTAATATTAGACGGATTATTTGACATTTAACACAGAACCGGAGTCAAAAATTGGAAAAAAGTCTTGGCTAAAGCAAGACGACATTAAGGAAATGACAGTGAAAATTTAAGAGCTTTAAGTTTGCAGACAATAATATTTTTGGAATTAAGATATTCCCTACGAATTAAATAAATCAGAAAAGTAGCCTAAAAATAATTTAAACTTATTTTTAATAAGAAAAACAGTGAATCAGTGCTCGTAAATTCAAGCATTTCTCATGACAGATGAACGTGATTTTTCGCCAACATTGACAACTGAACAGTTTAAACTGAGGTGATTTTTTGCAGTTCATACCTTCTATGTATAAACAATAAAATCCAAATAAAAAATGAAGATTATAAATAATTTTTGGAATATTTAATGGCAAAGTGTGACCTGAAGACATAGATTTGAAACATGAGAAAACGGCAAATGAAAAATTGATCGACTATATCTTGGATAAATTAAAAAAATTCAAGTTTAAAATTCAATTAACTAATTATGATTTTCTCTTCTTAATATACATAGTACTCTTCACAACAAAAGACTGAAAACATGTTTAAAATGGTAAATTTTATCTCCCACAGTTTTCAGTTTCTTGTCACGAATAGATAACTACGTTCATACAAGAAAAAAGAAGGCAAAATATAAACCCCACCCACCCACCCTCATTTCAATTGTGATGAATTTTCTTATTCGTCGTGAGTCGAGAGGCGGAGCTTAATTGCAAAATGCTTATTTCTCTACCATGTAAAACATGTTTTTAAGTAGGATGTTGTTGAAAGAAAAATATATATGTTAACAGAAACAAAAATAAAAAATGAGCCCCACCCACCCGCCCCAATCTCAGTTGTGACGCATTATTCATTGGTTGCCCGACCAAGAGGCAGTTAGTAGCTAAATTTATCCAGATTTTAATTAAAAAAAAATTATTAAATTTAATTTAGCGGCAAATTTTGAGCTGAAGGTATTTAGATTTAAAACGGACTATGACATGCGAAAGCGACAAAAAATTGATAAACTATATT